ATATTCTCCGCAGCACTTATCTCTTTTTTTTAAAGCACAATATAAAAGTAATATTCACATAAAACATTGTTTAACAATCTCATATAGGATATAGATGATCACATTATTGGTACTAATTTTGGTATGCCTTATATTGACCACTCAGGTAATTCACACAGACGTTTGATGAGTAATTTGGGGGAACACCATTTGAACAATGAGCAACATCCTACTGAGATTTAAACCACTACACATTTGATTTCTCACATTTTTTTCAAGGGATATGAGGGGTGGAATGTTATATTTCTAGTAAATGTACATTCAGATTTACTTCTCTTCAAGACACAGCCAGAGAAAACATCAAAATAACCTTCCATGAGGCTGAACAGAACAAACTCATTCTTTATTTCCATACAACAAAAAATTCTTCCAAAACTTATATCTGATGTCTTTCTTTGACCCTTTAACACAAAGGCCTTTTAGTATTTTGTTTACAGAATCTCATTTGAATCTCGATCTAACCTTCAAAAACTTAACTCAGCCAGAAACCCTTTGTAATTCCTAGTAACTGCTAAATACCTGAACATTTTGATTATAAATGTTTTCCTTTCCGCACGTGAAAAGTTCAGAAAAGAGTCAAAAGAAACAGCACACAGCTTGCTGTAGCTATCAGATGTGTGTGAGGCGTTCTCACAAACTGAATTACTTCTCGCTATCTGCACATGGAGATATTGTCTGAAAATCAACAGGCGTCCAATTCGTAGATTTTCATTTCAACTGGTGTCATTTTCTTCGACTTTTTACTAATAAATTGTGAAAACTCAGGCAATAAATGAGAGATATCTTTGTTCTTGGAGGGCTTAAACCCAAGAAGTACCTCATTTTGTCAGCACGCCCCACATATGTTTCCCAGTAAATGAAATAAAAACCATATTTGGCAAATACATGTATACTAAAACAATGGAGGGTATGTAAGTGTAAAGGAAGTGTAAATATAATTCAATCATAAGAACAATGTAAGTAGAATTTTGGACCATAAAGCCTCTAGAGTGGGGAATAAATAAAATGCACCACCGTCTTCACAAAATAACACACAGCACGAGAGTGGTGTAAAGTACATCAAGTTGTCCATCAAGCTATGACATCTTTGTACCCAGTGACCCCCCAAAAAACCCTTTACCCACAGAGACATCCATCAAAACCCAGAGGGGTAAAAGAGGTTTTTTGGGGGGGTCAGTAGGTACACACACAGAGAGGGAACGTAAGTAGCATCTGCACTGCAACAAAACACGTCCCAAATCATCATCTTCCACACTCTTTGAAGGGAAAGAGGAAATGAATCGGAACTTGAAGAGAATCAAGGCTCATGTAAGCACAACTGTACTTTGAACAAATTATGTTAGAGCTGCTAACGTTCCTTTGAATTATGTTTCCTTTTACTTAACCGCCTGAGGTTTTAATTAATCTGTGCACAAACCGTAGTATCATCCCTGTCAACCGAACAGATCTCAACAGACAACAGGATTCCCGTTAACGCAATAACAATGCAATCAAAATAACACCAGAAACAAAGAGACCACTCCAGTGGCTGAATGCAACACTCGGACGAACGTGATTTTGACATTTGTGTCACGGCGCGGTGGAATCAGGCGCTCATCAATATTTAGGCATATGGATATATTGGTATCATCTTAAAGCTTGTTCATTTGTCTATCTTTTGATGAAAAAAATGCCCATCTTTCTTGAATAGAAGTTGACATATTTGCTATTAAAGTGGGAAGGGGTTGCCTGGTAAAATTAGCTAGAAAATGGCCGCCAAAGATGCGAGACTTTCAAAGCTTTTGAGTCCTCGGAGACAACAAATTTACATTTTTTTGTGCCTTCAGTCAACGTTTTTCAGTAAATTTCACACATAAATGTGGTTTTGAATGGATATAAAAGGTGTTAAGCCAAAAATTAAAAAACTCTACCAAAATTGCAATATGGATGGAAAAAATGCCAGTTTCTTGGATTTCATTACTTCGACGAGCGCCTGATTTCATTACTTCGACGAGCGCCTGATTTCATTACTTCAACGAGCGTCTGATTTCACCACAACGTCCAACATTTGATGTTCGTCAAAGTCTTGCCATCAGCCACCGAATATCTGTACAGGAACCAAATGTCAAAACAACAATGATTCAATGGTCGCTTTTAAGGACACGCGGGTAAACCCACATTTCGGGGGTTTCCAGAAATCTTGACCTACACCAAAAGTGGGCATTGCCCTCTACCTATAGGAGAAGTCTGGTTTCATTGGTGTGTATATCTGTTTGGTTGCAGAGAAAACTCTCCTTGTCTTTTAAAGAAACTGAACGAATATCCAAAAACTTTACTTTCAATTTTCTCAAAACAGCATTTTTTTCGGGATAGCCCCCTCGAACTTAAAAGCGACCAAATCTAGGTTGAAAAAATTCCAGCAAATACACTTGTTAAGCGCCTTTATCTACAGTATCTAAAAAATCAATCACACAATGGAAAAGGAAAAGCAGAGGCAAATTGTCGGCCAGCCGTTCACATGATCTACGCCCAAAATTTTGACAAATTACATTTCTTTGCAATTTTTTACCACTTTGCAGTCACACAGCCAGCAGTACAAAATACCCCAACCTGGTCACCCAGCCAGGAGAGCGACTGCAACCGACTTCTAGCGCCTGGCAGAGAACTGCAACAAGTGACCGGAACGGATAATTTTCCCTGTCGCATTATAGCGCCAAGTGACCGCAAAGTGCTCATCTGTGGTTTCAGTTGCATGCGCTCAAGAAATGATTCATCAAAATTCACAGTCTAAATGTTGAAAAAAACCAAAAACAACAAAAACATGAAAAGATATACAATGTAGGTGCAATAGTCATAAGGATGAAACAGTTTTATTCCCTCTCTCCTGATATAATTTTGCTTTCAGCTTTCAGTGCTTAGTACATCGCAACCTTCGTGCCTTGTCCTATCTCCATTTTTAATAACAGTGAAAACAGCTCATAACAAAGAGTGAGCTTAAGAAGCAGTCATATTTTCACAATTTAAAAAAATAAAAATGGAGAAAGGAGAAGAAAGCACTGAGGTCGCTACATCCGGTGAACTCCGTGTATATATATATATATAGTTACAGTGTACTTAGATGGGACATGAGTTGCTGGCGTGATTATGCATTCTTCTCCGCTATATTTACAATGAGTTCATGATGGGACAACACGCCAGTAAGCAGATCTAGTTTTTGATTGGCATAACTCAACACAGTGCACACAGAACTCCTAAAACACGACGAAAACGTGACAACACACTCAGACGTTCGTTTAAATAATCAAACAGATCCGACAAAGCTCAACGTGGCATTCTGAGGCTTGAGCTACACTTGATATGTAAGATCCAGGGCATTATAGAATGACCCCTGGTGTCCACCTTAACGATTTTCCTTCAGAGTCACTTGATTAACCTTTCTGAGGTCACACAAGACTATCAAATATTACCGTTCACTTAACACAGTCAAATGAACATGTCTGTGAACAGGAAACTTAAAAAACAGCAAAAACCGACATGCCAAGCCATTTGAACAGTTGAGCCATGAGTGTAAAAACAAACGTGAGATATGTGTATTTTGGAAGTGTAAACAAAGGTGTGATACGTGTATTTTGGAAGTGTAAACAAATGTGTGATATGTGTATTTTGGAAGTGTAAACAAATGTGTGATATGTGTATTTTGGAAGTTCAAACAAAGGTGTGATATGTGTATTTTGGAAGTTCAAACAAAGGTGTGATATGTGTATTTTGGAAGAGCATACAAAAGACAAACTAACAGCACCAAAGAGCCACTCGTTAGTAAGCTTCACTGGGGACACAACGTAAGGGAAACCCACGGGTACAAACTGGCATGCCACAAACAACAAAGTTTGTGGAAATCTGACCCAAAGGCAGCGAGAAGCGAATTTCTGTTCTCGGCTCAGAGGCTAGGTACATGTGCAAGATTCTGTATTCGGAATAGTATTTTAAGTACTGTACTTCTAAATTAACATCTTGTTCCATTCAATATACTGCTCAGCGTGATGTTTCAAGGAACCATTTTTAGAAAGTCAACATAGTGTAAAAAAAACAACCAAAGTTGTACAGTGTGAAGGTCATGAAAAAACACAACGAAAACCTGTACCAAAACACCTAACAGTAGACCACACACTCGTAATGTATGAGTTATGTAGGTATGTACATATGTATGAACCATGTTTGCTATTATAACCCAAATTTCTCCAAGGGGATTCAAAAAATGTAATTAAAATTCATTTTTCTTAATAAGCAATTTGAAAATGTAATTCTAATTATTTCTTTTAAATAAACAATCTGAAAATGTAATTTTGAACAACTGACAGCTTTCAACAGAGAATCCAGTTCAGAGCAGATTCATCAGTCTACATTTAGTCCAGTGAACAGATGTGTGTGTGTGTGTGTGTGTGTGTGTGTGTGTGTGTGTGTGTGTGTGTGTGTGTGTGAGTGTGTGTGCGCACGTGTGTGGTGTCCTACCGCCCACAGCAATTAAGGTACAAGTGTTTATTACACAAATCTATTTTAGGAAATTCAGTCACACGTTTTTCAGCTGCTGAGCAGACTTTCACGTTTCCCACATTCCAACCCTCAGTTTCGACCACCATTAAAGTAAAACAACAAATCCTGAACAGAGAAAGATTCTCAGTCCTGTCCCCAACAGCTTGTCTATGGAACGACATCACAGAGGCAATTGGTCATGGAAGTTGAGAAACTTGAAAAAAAACCCCACAACTATAACTAACAATTGGTCGCTTTTAAGGACAAGCGGGCTAACCCAGATTTCGGGGGTTTCCAGAAATCCTGACCTACATCAAAAGTAGGTCCTACCTATAGGAGAAGATCCTGCCCTACCTATAGGAGAAGTTTGGTTTCATTTCTGTATATATTTGTTTGGTTATAGAGAAAACTCTCCTTGTCTTTTCAAGAAACTGAACAAGGGTAAAAAAACCTTTTCCTTCGATTTTTTCAAAACAGCATTTTTCGGGAGGGCCCCCCTGTGCTTAAAAGCGATCAAATGCTCAAGACAACAAGGCTGATGAAAGAACAGAATGAAACTGACAGAAGAAAAATGGGAAGCAATCATCACATGCATGAAGTTCAAAACCAGCTTGAAAGTTAAGTCACTGTGATATAATACTCATTTCCTTACATACTTTGTGTTGACCTTTAAACAACAGCAGATTGTCGATATCTATCTCTAGGAACATCTATCTCACTATCCGACAGCCTGAATATCACAAACATTTGAAGACTACAAGGGAAAAAAACTACAGATGGCACATTTCCCTACAAACTAAAAAATTAGATTCAGAGACTTCCCAGTCTCTTTCACGTGTAGAATTTTTAGAAAGTTTTGCTTTCCACTGTTGAGATATTCGTTTAGTGATTATTTTAGACAGGTTTCATCCTTTTTCTATCATCCTGGTGTTGCACATCAGAGATTGGAGAACAGTATTATGGTTTGGACACCTATAGTTTTTTCCCCATCTAGCCTTCAACTGCCCGCTGTACAACCCAATCTGATACAATCTAAACCCTTCATCCCTTCACAATCTGCAAATTATATCACATTGCTCCACATTTCTTGTTATCATCCAATAAAAATAACACCATTTTCTAACTCTCACGAAAAAATATAACGGAATGTACACAAAAAAACTGAAATGAAAATGACTATTCTGTGTTTTCAAGTTCAAGCGAAATAATGTGGACACAGTAGAAGTTATCATAAAGGTCAACAATAATGTAGATAGTATTTAAAGCGCCTACTCCCATGTGCACACAGGTCTATGTGCTTTACATACACTCAATCAGAACTAGCTGTCCTTAGAACACCGCAGCTTTGGAATGTAAATTGTTAGGTGGAGTTGATCCTCAGACCAAAGTCAAATATAACATACAACAGACGACAGCATGAATTTACACGATATGGTACATAGAAACGACAATAAGTGCATAACAATTAGTAGAAATCAGTACAAAAATATATCTTTTAAAGGGTGTAAATACGCATATATGAATATAAGCAACAACAATATCCTGGTTCTTGTCTTCAGCACCCACAAAGGCAGGGAGGAATGTTTGGGAATCGTTTTTGGATCATTTGTACACGCCGCAAAACTACACAGGGTAAAACACACCAATTGGTTCCGCTTTAACACTTTGCAGTCACACAGCCAGCAGTACAAAAACCAGCCAGGAGAATGACTGCAACAGAATTCTCGGACCTGGCGCAACCAGAACGGATAATTTTCACCAGCGCATTATTGCGCCAAGTGACCGCAAAGTGTTAAGGAAATAAATTTTATCTCTTGGTAAACGGAAAAAGATTGTTTTAAACATTAGCCTTCTTGGTTCCGCTGGAAAAAGAGAAGAACAATCAAAGCACAGATCCACATGCTGACATGATAATAATAGTTGTTAATATCTGCTGGTGTCATTCCTACCACCGACAATTGTGGCAACAAACGAGCCGAGGAAGAGAGGCAACAAACGGGCAACTTCAATCACAGTCTTTGAATTTGTTGACAGAAAGAGAGAAGCAAAGGCAACAATAATATACGTGTTGCTTTCTGTAATTTTACCTATGGGCAGGTAACAAGAACTGAACACCCTCATAGTCTGAAACCATTGCAAAACGCTTCAGATATCACGTTACTATATATATATATAAACAAATCTAGATGACCATGTGTTTCAAGAAACTAAAGATCACAACTTTGAATCAATCAAAAACTGAGAGCACATGTCCCCACTACCTGGGTATTGTACACGTGAGAAGACAGGTGAGGGGATGGAAGAGCCAGATTTTGCCAGACATGTTTTTTGCGAACTTTCTGCAGGCGTAAGGCTCTCTTGTGATGTGCTTATCCCATCATCTTTACTAGATCTTGATTGAATAAGTAATGTACTGGCAGCAAATGGAATGTTTTTGTTGTGAGGTCTTCAAGGTCTTCGGTTCAAATATTCTCAACATGTGACAATATATAAAAGATCGTGGGAACATCGCAAGGTCTTACATACAAAAGACAAAGTTCCTACAGTTGTATAGCAGTGTAAACAGTACTGGAACAGATTAACCTGTTTATCTGCACCTTTTCTTTGCCTGAACAAGGTTCTTACATGGGTTCTATAGCCTTTTATCAATCACAGGAATCCGTATACAGAAACAACAGCCACTATTAGTTATCAGTGCATAGAAAGACCCACCAGCTACCTGTGCTGAAGGCCGATGACAAAGTGGAAGAAGAAGATAAAGATATAAGGCAAATGTATTATGCATAAGGCACTAAAGTTGGTGTTTGCTGCAGAAAAAAAGGTCACAGTTTCTTCCAACAGGACAGGGCTGTGGGCCAACAGGAAAGGCTTGCGGCGAAGTTGAGCAGTTGAGTGGAGAGAACAGGTCGTTCGGTGCATGTAAGTTGAGACCTTTACAGGACCGTCATGGGAGTTTCTTTTTGGTCGTTGATCACTTCCACATTTTGGTACTCAGCCTCTGAAGAACAAACACAAAATAACGTTCACAAAAACACGGGTAGAAAGTTAATTCTTTATCTCCAAAGGGGGGTAAACCCACTATGCCGGGGCCCTACTTCGGTTCGAAATCTAAAACAGACATATTTGCCACTGAATGAACTCCCGGTAAAACAGACCTTTTTTGGCAATTGCGGAAAAGTAATTTGACGCAGAAGTTGTCGCAAAGCTGTGAGCGGCTTGCCGGAGATAAAGAGTTATAGCATGAGATCTTCGCAAATTACTCACCGAAAAAAAAGTAGAAAAACATGTTTGACACACTGAGGACAAAAAAAACCCTACTCTTTTCACAAATTTTCTTCCAGGTGGTATTGGGTACCCGGCTATAGACCGACAAAGATCTTGTCAGTTTGCTAGTCTTTGAGCGCGAGATCCGAAGCTTGCACTGTATGCTTCCAGGGAAGCCGAGAATGTATCTGAGTAGGATCTGCTGGAATAACGATAGTTGCAGAGTGCATAGAGCATGCTGTGGGGCATGGATATGCGCTATATAAATGCAATTATTACTATAAATCATTAGTATTTCCAATTAGCCCTTTTTTGGTGCTAAATCTAAAAATGACAAAAACGTCATTAACTGGGTCATTAAATCGAAACTAGCAAACCTATTTTGATAATCCTTCGTCTAATGAATGAACTTCTGGTAAAAGAAATCTGTTTTCGGCAATTACTGAAGGAATGTGCCCAAGCAGCTGTCAACGACTCACCTGCACAGGGGTTCCGACTGCGAGCCACTGGCCGGAGATAAAGAGTTAAGTGAAAGAGCTACACACTGTCCATCACACCATTGAGGACAAGCCTTCTGCTCATTGAACTACTCTGTTTTGGGAGACTTGGAACCCTCCCCCCCCCCAAACTTCACTATTTTTAGTTTCTCAATTTTGATTAGTCTATCAGAAATTTAAAAAGACAGGTTCTGTGTTCCTGATTCACGTATGATGGTTCTACGTGTGCTGCAACACTGTCTTAGGTCTGCTGCGGATGAGACATTCTATCCAGCTGCTACATCCTTACCACTTACAGTACTCGCCAGGCAGTAGAAAGCGCTCACTACCGCTGGTGACTTTACTCGCAACCAGGCACGGTAAACATAATGAAACAACGAATGGACGCACTGAACTGAAGTAAATACCTAAGGAAGTCAATCTATATGACAACTGAATGGTTGATGTACCTCTCTTAATTTTAATAGTGTGTTTCTTGGGCTGCCAAGGATTTTTGATTAAAAAAAAAATTCTACCACGGATTCAGCTATCTAAACTGGTGCGGTACCCAAGGATTTTTCACTATGTGAGCCTTTGGTACTGAAAGTGTTTAAGAGCCAAGACACAATTCTAAACTTCAAACAAACCACAGAAAAAAAATATAAGGAGCAAATCATTATAGACAAAAAAATGAATGAATGAATGAATGAATGAATGAATGAACGAATGAATAAATCAAATAATTAAATTAAACAAATAAATAAACAAAAAACAACAAAAACAACCAAACTCTATATAATAAAATCTACTCACCAAACGCTGTGTTGTCATAGGCAAATTTGGCAATCTCAGCGTTGTTGACATATTCTGTGCCCTCCTGTGGGGGGGCGTTGGCATAGATGTTCTCCTCCTTCTCCTCCCTCAGTTGTGCCTTCCTCCCCACATTGTCATAGAGCCTCTCCTGCTCCTCATCTATCTTTTTCTGTATCACCTCCATCAACGCATCAAAGACGAAAATGTACTGAGTCTAAAAAAAAAAAAAAAAGAAAGAAAATCAAAGATGCATGAATACAAGTTGTTTCTTTTTTTTTCTTCCAATTTTCGTTAAAAAAATACCTATAAATACATACAAGTGAAGTAGCCTTTTAATGTAAAATAACAACAAAAAGCAAAAAATCTTTTTATTAATGTACGCCTTTTTCACATCCCCATCAGCATAATTTACACATCATTAGTACGAGCTAACAAGCCTTTAGTTTGACCTGAAAGTCAAAGAGAAGTAAACTCTCAGTCTGGGTGATGCTTTGTCCATCAGTTTGACTCGAAACAAGCGTTTTTAAAAACATAATATGTCCGGTCGCATTTCCACAAACACGAAAAAATCATGCGAAAACGTGATTTTAAGTTGCATGGTTTGAGAGTTAACACTTTGCAGTCACACAACCAGCAGTACAAAATACTCCATCTGGTAATCCAGCCCGGAGAGTGATTGCACCAGACTTCTCGGGTCTGGCGCAGCGTCAGGTGACTGGCACAGATAATTTCACAGTCGCATATTTGCGCAAAGTGTTAACGAAAGGTTTGGAAAGCGAAAGTTTGGAAGGTGAAGGTTTGGAAGGTGAAGGTTTGGAAAGTGAGGATTTGGAAAGCGAAAATTTGGAAAGTGAGGGTTTGGAAAGAGAAGGTTTGGAAAGTGAGGGTTTGGAAAGAGAAGGTTTGGAAAGTGAGGGTTTGGAAAGAGAAGGTTTGGAAAGTGAAGGTTTGGAAAGAGAAGGTTTGGAAAGTGAAGGTTTGGAAAGAGAAGGTTTGGAAAGTGAAGGTTTGGAAAGTGAGGGTTTGGAAAGAGAAGGTTTGGAAAGAGAAGGTTTGGAAAGTGAAGGTTTGGAAAGAGAAGGTTTGGAAAGTGAAGGTCACCTCAGCTTGCACCATGCGGGGCCGGTTCTCCCTCATCTTCATGACGAAGCTGAACACGTCGACGTTGTCGTCTAGACTGTGCTTGTCCACGTACTGGGTGAAGTAGTCCAGGGCGATGAAAGTGCCGGTCCGGCCCACGCCAGCGCTGTCAACCACAAACAAAGCATAGGTCAAGTCAGTCTTTTGCACTTGTTTACATTACAGTCTTTAACACTTTGAAGTCACACAGCCAGCAGTACAAAATACCCCCATCTGGTCACTCAGCCAGGAGAGCCACTGCAACGGACTTATCGGGCTTGGTGCACAATTGCGCCAGGTGACCGGAACTGCCACGTGACCGGAACTGCCAGGTGACCGGAACTGCCAGGTGACCGGAACTGCCAGGTGACCGGAACGTATAATTTTCACCAGCACATTATTGCACCAAGTGACCGCAAAGTGTTAAAGAGATATCATAACTTTAAAAACTTGCATCATTTGTTTTAATACACACAAAAAAATGTACAATATGAACGGAATTAAGTCTAATATCATGATACATGTGATACAAAAAAAAAAGCCAGACAATCTTGTTTTTTACAAATCCCATTTACTTTCCTTTTTTGTATGAGTTTAACGGTACTTGCAATACAAATAGGTCATGCAAGTGCTGAGGAGTAGAAGTGCTAGTTACTAAAGAGTAGCATACAAAAAAAGAAAGCTGGAGGGATAAGAAGTTTGATGGGATAGAAGGAGCAAACCACCGGAGAGATCTCACTAACCTCCCACATCTCAGTACAATGCTATCACAAATATATGAACATTTATTCATCCAGTGCCAGATCTGCGACAGACATCAGCAATCATGGTTCTCCATTCATTCCTTTGCTTGGATGCTCTTAAAAAAGCTACTTTTCCCTGATCTTTCCTATTTACCCATTTGTTAGGTTCCCTAAGTGGGTTGCTCTGGGCCTACCCCTGTCTCGTTTGCCTTCAATTTTGCCAGTGAGAGCTAGATGCTTAAGACCTTTACATCTATTCAGGTGTCCCAAAAAACTGCATTTGCCATTTCCTGATTGTTTTTAACAGTGAGCGTCCCATGTGGGTTTCATCAAGTACTACATACTACTTTATGGTCGCTTTTAAGGACAAGCAGGCTAACCCAAATTTCGGGGGTTTCCAGAAATCTTGACCTACACAAAAAGTGGGCATAGCCCTACCTATAGGAGAAGTTTGGGGTTTCATTGGTGTGTATATTTGGTTGGTTTTTAGAGAAAACTCTCCTCGTCTTTTAGAGAAACTGAACAAGGGGCAAAAACTTTATCTTCGATTTTCTCAAAACAACATTTTTCTGGATAGCCCCCATATGCTTAAAAGCGACACAGACAAATAAGTACAAGGAAAACAGCGAGCGACTAACCTGCAGTGGACAACAATAGGACCAGAGTTGGCCGGAGTGGCTTCCTGCCGCACGATTCGCGTGAACTCTAGCACGTCTTGTACTGTCAGGTTGGCCTTGAAATCACTCCAGCCAGGCAGGAAGAAATGGGTCACCTTATGCGAGTCTGACCCCTGTAACAAAGTAGGGCATATCACAACTAGGACACTAGCACCACAGGCTCAGAGAAATGAATTATAATAATAATAATAATAATAATAATAATAATAATAA